TTTGAAACCACTTGTATAACGCCTCTTCTAATGAAGGAAATTGCACTTCCTGAATATGAGTCTTTTTCAGATCTGAATGTTTTGCGCTTGCATGCAATTGTAAAAATTTATCTTTCTTTCGAAGTATGTTACTTATTATTATAGTCAAATGGTCTACACTGAACTCGCTTGCCAGTTTTTCATCACTTAGTTTTGCATCAGTTTTTTTTCTTAATAATGTTTACTTTATCCTCAAGTGATAAATTTCTCCTTTGCTTTCTTTGTCTACCCGTGTTAGTAGTATTTGTAGAACTAGCCATTTTAAGCACAGAGGTTTGTAAATTATTGCAGATGAAATAATGGTAATAACTGTGTAGTTATATTAATAGATCTAACAGTTGGTTTAATAGACCTTGCAAAGACACTCTCTTATATGTTTATTTTACAGCCTGATTTATGTGGCCTGATTTATGTGAGCTGATTAATTTATGTGGCCTGATTTATGTGGCCTGATTAATTCATGCAGCCTGATTTATGTGGTCTGATTTATGTGGCCTGAATTTATTAAAAGTGGTAAATGATTGACAAACCTGACACAGATTATATAAATAGAAATGGCATGATATTTGTGTAATATAAGGGGGGATATAAGCGAGGTATGACATAATAGTTTATTATAGGGTATGGGAAATCGGGACTGTAGAATTTTGGAGATAGGGATATATCTGAGTGGGATACAAATGAGGTAGATTTATATTGATTTACAATAAGGGAAATCCGTCCAGATGAAAACCTGGGATATAGCTGAGGTTGGGATACAATAGGGGGGGATACAAATGAGGTATGACTGTATATAGCTGACAGAGATAATGCAAATGACATTGATGGTATGTGCAATTTACTACTATTATTCTAAGTGATTATGATGTCAGCATTGGTATTAATATAGACTTATTATAGTCAACAGTACAATCGATGATGGTGGAAACCATAATGACATTCTACCAGAATTTAAACAATCAAAAAACTGGCAGCGTGAAGAAACATTAACTCTAATTGGATATAGTGGACACAGTGACAAAGGCTGCAGTAGTGATGACATTGGTAGTGATGATGCCAAAACAGCTAAGTTGGCAAATTACATATCAGAATTTCCCTTCAAATCCCTATTTTGTGTCCTTTCCAAAAGCTGGTCCATTTGAAAAATAAAGCCCACACTTTAGCCAAATTATTATCTCCTTGTATTAATTGCTCCAATGTAGTCAGAACTGTACTTGAGTGCAGTACACATAACACTTGACATGTATCATTATCCTAAACCAGCTCACAATAGCTGAATTCCTTCTGTTCTTCCTACTTAATCACAGAGTTAATGCCATAATAATAACCATGAAAATAAATAATGTCCACATTTGATTTTTTAATGTTACATTCACAAAGATTAGAAAATGTCACCATTGCATATTATTAATGCATTTTTTAAACTGTCTCCTAAGCTTGCATTAATGCTTCTTGCTTTTCTCTGTATTCAGTATCAAGTAAATTATGATTTTCTTCATACTCCATATAAATATTGCTATATTAATATGATGACAGATCTGGATGGTGGTGGATGGTATGCATAATCAATAGTGATTTTTTTCCAATTCCATCACTGAAGAACACTGATTTATGATTTAATTCTTGAGGACACTTAGGATGCATGTCTGTTAGCCATTGGGAAAATGCTGTGTACTTGTCACATATAAATCCTGTCACATTTCTTTTTTGCTTTTCTACAACCATATCAGCTATCAGTGCATCTCCCTCTACAAGCACACTGTATTATGTATCTGTTGACTGCTGCTCAACACAATATAAATACTTTGGCATCTTGTTCAAAATCCTAGAAGCATATCCTAGCTGATACCTTCAGTTTGTCTTTTCAATTATTTTGCAAGGTAGTAACAGCTGATTCACAATGTGTCACTCAATACATGGAACTAGAACAGTAACTATAGATCTATTAAATTTGATCTGTCTGTATTTAGCCCAAATTTGGTTGACAAGTCAGCTGGTAGATGTGTGTTTTGCACCACCTCACCTTAAAGCTTAAACCTAGTACTAGCTGGTTAAGTCTTGAACATCATCTGCTGAATGGAAATTTTACTAATGTATTCAGTAACTCAAAGCATTCTTTCACAATGATAACTATAACTGGACCACAGAGGACTGAAAATGTGTTGTTTGGTCAAATGAGACCAAAATTAATCATTTGGGGTCTGATGGACATGAGTGGGTGTGGAAAAGGTCTGGTGGAATAATGACAGAGTAAGAGTAGCATGTTAACTAGGGGACAGTTAAATTTGGTGGTGGGATCTAATGATTTGGGGGCTGTATGACAGCCAAGAGATTGGTTATGCATCAGATTGAGGGGCACATGGATGCAGAGCTTATTATTATACTCAAAGATGAATTCCTTCAGAGCCTTGGGTAACATTGCTCAACAAGATAATGATTCCAACATACCTCCTGTATTGCTCAAAAATGGTTCACAGATAATAGTGTTGAGGTTCTGGATTGGCCTGCACAATTACCAGACTTCAATTCTATTGAGCATCTATGGCAGCACCTCAAACAACAGCTTGCCACACCACATACCGTAAACTGCCATGAATAAGGGCCCACCTTCATCATATAAGGGGGCTCTTATTCATGGCATGTTTGGTTGCGCCTTAAAAACAATGCAAAATGATCTACGAATCATCACGTAACAACTGTCCACGTTATCTCTGTTTATTACATAATCATGATTCATATGATTTTCAAACCCGTCTTTCTACTATTATGGTTCGCATTATTTGTTGTCATGGTTCGCATTATGGTTAAGCCAGGATTAATCGTACAGTAAGACAATTATATAAATCGTACATTCTATAATAACAACTCACATCTCTCTCCCTCAAGCGGTGACAGCGATATCTTTAACCTCACTTTCGCCCGTATCAAAGCAGTCAGTAAGAATACATCTAAACTTCCGACGAGAAAACCACCGCCACCACCGTTAACCAGCCAATTGCATTCATTGACATTGACACCCGCACGCAACCTTCTAAAGACGATATGGTAACATTTTCGGATCGAATACTAATATCACGAAAGACAAGTACGCGAAGTTACATCTTTGATTACCATCATGTTTGAATTTGTAATACGATCTTCAAATATCAGCCAAGATACAGTACATGTTATAATGACAAATCCCTTCTACCCATACAGTATATTATGTATGGCATAAGTACTTTGAAAAATCAACTGCAATTACAAGTCGACTATTTATTGGAATCTTAACACAACTTCTAAACAATTTGGTACGTTTATATGCTGGACGACAAAATCATTCATATGGGATCTTTAACCTCTCACAAACGGTGAATTCATGTGAACCAAATTCAACAGTATACACTTTATTGTACCGGAAGTCTTCCAAGCTTACAAATATACTCAGAAATTAGGTGTGCATCCTTTTCGTATTTATTTCCGTTGGCTGGTTGATAGAGATTTGATCTAATATGTGACATCACGGCCAACGCCCGATTCAATACCAGACATAGGAAAAACGTGGACGATATTGATAATGATCCTAATAATGTCCAGATGCAGAGCGATAGAAACTTGTTCGAATATGTGAATGTGGACAGTTCTGATGACAGCGTGTGGAAACCCATCTATTATAATGGCATAACACCCTTACCAGTCTCCCCCCCCCAATATTAAAATTTTATTCCGCATATGGAAAACTATGTGTTAAAAAATAGAGATTATGCGACTAATAAAATGTTGATTGTACATATACTTAATAATTTGTATCTGTAAAATTACTCAAGTTTATTAAATTTAACGCAATTTTAATAATTTAATTAAAATCTTATTCATTATTTCAAAAGCTGAAATATAAAGCGCTTGAGACATATTAATGTTGATTATAATAGTGTGAAATTCACGGCGGCGAAATATACTTCGGTAATTCAAAATTCGGCCTTTCTATATTTCCCAGTAAACAATACCCATTACGTTAAAGGACTAAATAGACTCGAGGATTTCATTTATCTGTTAGACATAATCTTGCCAAATTATAAGATATGACGTCTTGATCTTGATATTTGTTTTATGTCAACAATTTGAGATCACTGGATACGAAGCAGTAGAATCCACATTATTATACCGATCAAAATATTTTCGTAAGCACAGCATAGGGCTGATATTTTATATCTTTGGTTAACGCCTATTTTCGAAATCTTGTTTGTGATTGACATTCAAACGTGGCTATGCATCATCACCGAAATAGATATAATCCATAAACTCCCAGAAATTCAATTTTAAAGTAACATATACACATAAATCTTTCGGTTTATTGTTTTTTCTTTGTATGAGAAGGATTAAGAATTGAAGGGATAGAACCAATGGCAGTTTTGTAATTGACATCCGAGCAATAGTTGACTTTAGGTAATATCACTAGTTTTGATTTCGTTGAAGGGATAAAGATAGTCATATTCTTAAAAACTAATTTTTGGGATATGGGCGATGGACCTTGTGGCCCTAATACCGAAATATATTTCGACTTTCGGCCAGAAATGATTTACCAAAAAAAAGTTTGAGGGCTTGGATAATAAGAGATTTGTTGAATACGAAGCTTCAATACAAATTGTGACTATTATTATAAGACATATTAATTCATTATGGCTTTACATTTGCATCTCGCAATCACGCTAACCAATCGCCCTGAGAATATCGCTCGATTACTCTACTAAAAATCTTTACCATGTACTATAAATACCACGCTTGATCCATCTACGCTATTGGGAAGTTCGAATTCCATGAATCATTCATACGTTTCTGCCTGCATTCCAAACTCGAGTAAGTAACACAGTCTTAAACTGATATGTACGATATTTCCTCAAACAAGTAATCCTAATACAGCAGATCAATTGCGCCTTCCGTCTCGGGCCGTCATTCTTCTCTACTCTCTTCTTCCCCTACTTTTACTCATCGTCTCCGACAGAATGTAATACATCGGGTTCTCTGACATCTTTGGAATACGTTTTCTTACTCGTTGCCATCTCCAACAACTCTAATTCTGCTGGATGTCGATCAAGGACAGAGTGTTTGGCACCATTTGGTATCGAGTTTGGATCTCTGGTTGTCGGTTTCACTAACCAGACTGTAGAGACAAGGAAAAAGGTTAGATGTCTGTGTATGTGAACAGTGTGAAGAAAAAAACACACACAACCCGATGATGACTATAAAACATAGCGCTCACCTTCGATTTCCTCAATATCGAAAACTCTTTCCCACTCAAACACACGCTTCCATACGTAGTCGATACTGGTCCGGCCCTACTCTCTCCCCTAATTAAGCCTTCTTCTATCCACAGTGCAGGATATTCTAGCTGACCACCCATTCCCAATCCATTTCTCAGCGTTTCCGTCCCTGAATTCAGATATTGATAGTGGTCATTGTACCGCTTGATTTGTAAATTCTCAACTTTGGTCTGATACTAAATAAAAAGGCCTTGTTCAATCCATAAAACTTTGGAGACAGTTCCCAGTCAGAATACGCAAATCCATCAAAGACGTATTTAGAAGACTTTAATATCAAGAGTGTACTACCGACGTAAAGAATGGAGGAAAGAAAGAAGTCCATGATTTAACGTCGATTATAGAAGAGAAAAGAAGTTGGTGTGGTGTGGCAACGCAATCAGGAGGAAGATGCTGGCAGATACAAAAATAGTCTGCCGGTGTAAGGAGATTGGAAAAAGCTGGGTAAGGAAAGGGACTCGAGATTTCTGGACGTGTAAGCATTGATTTCTGCTGCAAACGTACTAGCTGAAGAGAGCACGCCCTGCTTGTGAATCCAGTAATAGCAGCTTTTCTATAGATGGCATTAAAACAGCGAGCCATGGCGGTATTTGTTAGTTTTTGAAATGGCAGATTATTGTTATACCATTCGGTGTACTTGTCCAAAGAGAAATACCAACCGTGCAAACACTCTTTCATGAAATTGCTCTCTGCGTTTTCGTCTTCGACTTCGCCTTGTTTTAATGAAGGCTGCACGAGAAGGTACTCTACCAATGCTTCATTTTGATCGCCTGCTACTTCATTGCTACCACAACCTTTCTCATTGTCATGTTGATTCTTACTGTCATTTCTCTTCCCGTCCGCAACCTTCTTTCCACTCTTTTTATTACCATCTCTATCGAACCAAAATTCAACTCCAAGCTTGGCAATATCTGAAACAAAGTCTCGTAGATTCCAGTTGACCGACGATATACGTAGCCTCTGCTTGATCCGCAATACTCTGTTTTGTCAGTTTGCGAATCGATGAATAGAACCCCACGCAAGAAATAGTGCATTCAGATGTTGGAGTCAAAAGCAGTTTCTCCAGTTTGCTGCTAGGTATGGATGAAGAGAGTGACAAAGGATTTAGAGTGGAGAGATGAAAAAGCAGAATCAAACCGCGCAAAAAGCTGAGGGAAGAATACATGGAAGAAGGGACTAAGTTTTTGGATTAAATACGATGAAAATGCACAGAGATGTAAAAGAGAACACATACAATCATTAGTAAACGGGGGGTCATTATATGAAATGCATTGGTTACGTTAGGGCACGGAATGGCTTATACTCCACATTTCTAATCCAGAAAAAACAAAGCGATTTAATTCCCCGTCTTTTCTCGCGTTTAATTACTGACCTTGACACTCCCACCCGCTACGGTATCTTTCTGCTTGCGCCTTGCTTTGATTCTTCGTTTCCTCCGACAGCCATTGACCCGACAACGCGCGCTCGTCGACGGTGAATTCGGCAAGGATTTCATTGGTGCGGTCTACGACGGCTTTGCTTGACTTGTTTCCCATAAGTTGAGAGAGAGTTTTTTTACGTGGAGTGGGTAGTTGGAAAGTCGCATGCAGAAATAAGGCTATAAGGAGTTAAATATTGGAATGGGCGATAGTTAACGCGTAATATTAAATTTGCCTATCACGTGGCACACTTTTTTTTCGTCACTCTAACGCTCACTTCGCGTCTTTCAGTTATTCCGCAGAATAGAGCGAAAAACGTTAACGGAAAGTGTAACAAGTATGCATGACGTAAGTTAGCCCTGAATGATAGTTCTTTTTCCTTTCGATATTTAAGTACCCTGTTTTAACGCGAATATTACGCGACCCATGTCTGAAACAGATTCACGTTTATTTTAATCGAAAATTCTCTAGGTGGAATATTAAAGACTTCTTAGATAACTGTGAACCCGTAAATATAAGTGACAAAATAAGTATTTATCTTAAATCTCTTGAGGCAATCACCAAAACTGAGGAAGGACGAAAGTGTAAACGAGCAGAGAAGTTGCTTGCAAGATACAGGGAGGTGAATTTCGTATTTAATTAAAGAAGTATAGAATTTGGTGGCGTGTACGGGATCTCGAAGGTTTCGTATCATTCAAGTCTCGAAGACCATTCAAGTCTCGAAGACGAGCTACGAAGTTAGTGCTGGGGCGCGGGCAATCTCGAAGGTTGTCCTACGTTCAAGGCTCAAGTCGACCCACGTTCATGACTCGAAGTTGACCTGGTACCAACCCACCGGGGCGCGGGCAATCTCGAAGGTTGTCCTACGTTCAAGGCTCGAGTCGACCCCCACCAGGGGTCTTACGTTCATGACTCAAAGTTGACCTGGTACTAACCCCACTGGGGCGCGGGCAATCTCGAAGGTTGTCCTACGTTCAAGGCTCAGTCAACCCCACCGGGGCGTCGGCAATCTCGAAGGTTGTCTCACGTTCAAGGCTCGAGTCGACCTGGTGGATAAAATAAAAGGATATTAATAGTACACTAATCAAAAACATTACTAATGTGCCTAATTTTACTCGCGTTAGGGTTCTCGACCGGATCTGATTCTTGCTCGAAATTGGGAAAGAGAACACAGTAAAATGGCTAGTGAATCTTCGACTTCGATTAACTTTTACGGGGGTATACACAACAGTGGGATCATAGCATCAGAGGCTACTAACAATAGGAGTGTGACGAATACAACACATCCAGAAAAGAAAAGACCGGCCGAGGAAGATTCTCATGTAACCACTTCTCCTCCCAATCTTCGGCATCGCACTCCATCGCTCAATTATATTTTAATAAGTTCCGATAGCGAATCTGATGAAGACGATAATTCGGATAATGAAGAAAGATTTCGTCTTGATATAAATACCGTTTTGTTTGACGATTATGGTGATCAAAGTGAAAGAGATTCCGAGTGGAAATTACAGGATGGTCGGCAGCTTGTAAAAGCTCTTAAGAGTAAGACTTCCGAAATGATAAACCTATTTCTGAAAAAAGACAAAAAGGAGCAAACTTTAATTGCGAAAAGTGTCATCAGGTATGGTCTCATATTTTCCAAAGCTACTGATAAGAAATTTTCTAAAGTGTAAATACAGGTTAGGATTGTCTTCTATAATTGATTTATCGTCCGAATTCGAAGACGGAATGTATTCATGGTTTGAGAAGGATTGGGCCAATATAAAAAAAAAGGTCTATAAAATTGTTGATATGAAACCGAAGGGTTTCGAGAAGGAAGTGGAAGATGTGATAGACATCATTGAGGAGGAAAGTGACATCTATTGGCTTTTAAAGATGTGTAAATGTTACTTTGTTTACTTATCTTTATGCCTATTTGACTATAATCAGATGTGTGGCGCGTACAAATACAATGAAGCCCGAGATTATTCATATAAGATCAAAACTAGCAATACCTCTCAGACGTTAATACAAATATCAAATGTTTATTTTTATGTGTGAGTTTTGTTTTCTTTTTTAATTTCGATTTAATTATATTGTTTGCTAATTAATATTGTTAAATTTACTTCATATTCAGAATCGACAAATTTTTAAGAAACCCTTTTATCTTTATTGATAACTCCGGAAAGTGCCAAGAAATGAGTGAAATCGAATATGCAATTGAGATGATTGCACCGATAATGAGTGAAATATTTAATGATACATCCAAATATATAAATCTTCGCTGGTAAGACCAATACATTTACTTTTCATGCGTAATAAATAGTATTGATTTCATATTTGTATGTAGGGGAGAGACACTTTCCAATGTAATGTCCGATCGGCGTAGAAGGATTGATTTACGGATCATTCGTGTCGCGGATAAACTTGAACTAAGTCATTCAGAATGTGCAAGGATTTCATCTCCTACCAAAGTAATACATGATCGGTCGAAATGTTTACGTACGCTGAAAGGTGTTTTAAATAATTTTTTGAAAAGAGACTTAACTGATGAAGAAGTGCGAGATTCAAAAATTCTAGGAATTCAGTTTTCTGGTAAGTGTATTATTTATTCGCACAACAAAATCAATTACATAGTTAACACTTCGGTTGTTTAAGGTCTACACGGTCAGATTATAGGCATAGAACTTTTAGACGATGGGTTATATTTCGGACTTGAAGGACCAACTTTTGAATTTCCGACACAACTTACGAATATTACATGTCTCCGAAGTGCATTGGAGGCTTTATTTTTTTTCAAGGTGAGTATTAATTGATAGTAATTAATCGTTATTTATTTTACAGCATTTATTTATTTATTTATTTATTTATTTATTTATTTTTAGAAAAATATCGTTGAAAAAGCAAAACTACAAGCTGATCCGACGAAGACTTATAATCCTCTTCATAAGATACTACATCGATCGAGTAGCTCAAAAGCAAAACATTTCAAGATCAAGTATATTCGAGATACATATTTTACTTCAAAAAAAAAGGAAAAAGGATCAGAATAATAATAGTATATGATAGTGATCTCCAATAATGATGCAAGCACTAGAATAAAACTGCATTTAAAATAATCCCCGATTATGACATTTTGTATGTTCACAAGAGACATTTTCCTTTTGCTTCTCCTTGTGTTGGCAGTTTCCTTCGCGAGGCGGCTGCGCTCCCTCACCGCCCTGTAGTGTCGATGAATGATTGATTCGTGTTTCGTAGTAGTACACTTTCGCAGACTTTCTTTGGGGCCATGTCTCGAATATATTCTAGCAATAGATATATTTTCCATCGGACTTTCTATACTATTCGTAATAATTATAAGTACATTTCAATCTAATTGCTACTCTTAACGGTCTATTAATTTTGTTAATTATATTATTTCGTAAATATTAGCTCGTCAACGAAGGTTAGTTTCAGCCTCAACATTAATATTCCTCTTTCCACTACTAATACTCCAATTGGATTTTTATCAAGAGTATCCGCATTTTGCTCCGTGTCTCTATTGCTTCAATATTCTACTAACATTTTCCCCCTCATCAACGAATATATTTTAATTAACTTGAATAACTTTTTGTTGTATTAATCGAGTATCAACCTTCTAACGAGTATACTAACTCTCGGTTATTTTCTTATGAGCATACTGCCTCATATATTCAAAAAGCAGTATTGGTCCCTCTCATATTGTATTGTTATTTTACATTTATCCGGTTCGACTGACGTTAAAAGAGTTAAGCGTGTTTATTGTGTAGGTTTAATTTACTAGTTTTGTAAACGTGTCTTCATGATATGCTGCATGGCACATTTTAAAGAAACCATTTTCTGGCAACACATTTAATGAGTTTCTTGACTTTACGTAATCGCTTTAGGACACTTCACAAATCGCCAGTAACGTAAATATTTGCCGTTGCAGTAAACGGAAACTTTTTATGATGTCCACGTGGCTAACTGTAACACAACTTCCACCAATACGTTTGGAGCCCTGCATTTGGATTTTGAGTCTTTCGACAGACCAATCCTCACATCGACAAAGTTACCAATCAGCAAAATCAAAGGCCAATGTCGCTCTGTCGTGAAAGAATCTGCGTCAAATAATGAATCAGTTCCTCGTAACGAGAAAATTTGGGAACTGCACCAGTAACTGCTGTTAATGACTGCACAACCTCAAAGTAGAAAAACATAGATGGCAATTTAATGTTGAATACGTTATTTGTTTATCTTTATCGTTATCTAGTGATTTATCCTATATTATTATTATTTGTTTTATTGCCTGTTATTTATTTCTCGGTGAAAGTAGTAAAATTATTTATCAATAACTTGATACTTGTTTAGTCAATAATAGATATCTTCTGTCAATGTTCGGATAACTTCGTCACCGTTTACTGCGTTTTACTTGAAAGAAATAAATGTAGCAAATAATATTCTTACAAAATACTAAATAAATTATTGACTTGTTAACAGAATAAATTGTTAAAAGAATATGTACATAGTAGATACGTACGACAGAGCTTTTTGAAAAAATAGATTTTTTATATGTTTTATTATGTGATTACCCAGACGTTTATCCAGTGAGTGTAGCCTGATTTCGAAAAGTTTGAAGGGACTCATCTGACCTAAAGGATGAGAAACAAAAGAACATAGCCTCAGAAACTGAGTCCGAAGCAGATATTGATCTGGAATTTACTTCAAAACCGGTAACAAATAATAAACTTTTTGAAGGAAAATAAAGACATGTGGAAAATTTTTTACGGTACGTAATAAGTCTGGTTCAACTTGCTTGCATTTTTACTAATGTACCCCTCGTTAGACGTCTTTGGCCTAGGTTTCGCTTGGCCTTCCAAATCGAAAGCGGATGAACGTCGTGAACTCTTTGACTATATTATTTCTCCCGATTGGGAACCAACCGGGGAAAAAATACAGTCGAATATCGTCGTCTACTTGAGTCCGAAACTCTTGACGCGTTGCAAGGATCGCACATTTTAATCAGAAATGGGAAATTAGATAGTTACGAATTGAGATATATACGGAAGACGACGAAGAACTGGGAAAAAAGTTATTCGCGTGTTTATATGAACCAGTTATTGAAACGATGTTATAATACAATACGCAAATTTTCAGCTGAGAATGATCAAACAAGAAAAGAGTGACAGGTTTGTATTATTTCCGATTTAAGTCAGATATAGTCCAAAATTTTATAATAAGACATATGTGGCCAAATGTAGTCCCATATTTGCATTCAAAATGTATTAAATCACTACGATGAGGTGAGGATGGCATGTACTGAACAAGATTACCGAATGGTAATTGATACCCCGCACCACGATAACAATGATTCCAAACTTTGTAAGACAACAATTGTATAGACCCAAAGATGGATTGGCTTATATGTTTGGGTGGCGGGACCAATTGATCCAACTGGGTTTGAACAAGTGAAGCTTATTCATGGCAAGACAATCCCCCTAATGTTGACAGTGGTCTAATTGACTACGTCGTTCTTAACAATATCCCGCATTACAAATTTTGTAGACAACCTTACGTATTTCTTAAGAACGATATTTCAACCAATTGCTACAATTAAAAGAAACGCAATGAATGATTTTTTCCTAATCAGCAAAAATTCGAATAAAGGTTCTGGATTTTACATGAATGACGCAATATATGTAGTTTATATTGCTTATAATTTGTCAAACAGTCTGATGCGGTGTGTGTGTATCAGGGGGAAAAAGTGTACATAATGATCATAAAGCATTTAAAGCTTTGACTTATTCAATGAGACCTCAATTCTCGAAGATGGGTCTTTCGTACTATAATGTACAGCTCATAATATTTCCATATAAGGTTAGAAACGGAAAGTTACCTGCCAGGCACAACCCGACAGCCGATAAGCCAAAAAACCAATAATATTCTTAGTTTTATGTGATGTCACGATTGTAATAGTAACAACTACTTCGAAGGCGCAGCTAAATCTCAGTAAATGATTATAACGATACCACTCTCCCCTATATCACATACCATCTATCAATTCATTAACAGTAAGTCTTGATTATCAATTCTTCTTTGCAGCACAGGTATGGTATTCTCTCACACCGTTCATAACATATTCTTCCAAAACGTTCTCCAAACACATCATCACCCATACATATTGTTACAGTTGGCATTCAGATTTGAGTGGAGACCAATAATTTGCGTAAGTATATTCTGCCGAGGGTGATTTTTCCAAATTTAGCTCGTGTCATGCTCTTATTCTTCATTGCTCAATAATTATTTTATATGCGTGCTTTCTTTTCACTTCTTATATAATGTATCTATCTAGTACCTACAATAATATATTAACAATAATATAATATCGCAGAATCGAAGGGGGAATTATAATGCTATCAATCTTCGATTTAGTGTTTCGGCTAGTCGGAAACCTCCCCTTTTCTGCTAAGCAACAAATAATTATCCTTTTTGAATCTTTAATTATGGCCGTTATTTCGAAATTAACGAACTTACTGCGTTTGACAACTTTCGTCAGCTACGAACAGCTGGAATTTATTCCTAACAGGTCAGTAGGCTTGTCAATATTAATATCGTGAACGTAAAAATAAAAGGATTGTATTAATTTAAAAAACAATGAGAAGTCTCCCTACGTTAATAACTTTAACCTGCTTTAGTGAAATAAATACTATCGAGATATGCCCTACGCAAAAATCCTATATTGTGCAACCGACCATTTACCATCATTTGCTAGTCCAGTCCCCTTTTTTAACCGTATGAATCTTCCTTGTTTGTAACAATCAACTGATATATTTTCAGATACGAGATTATCTTAGTGTATCCATCTAATTCTGAATAGAAATTTCCCTGATGGGAAGAGTGTCACGTCACAACAGATAAAACCCCTTTAAAAAAAGGTAAATGGTGCAAAAACAACAAGGTTGTTAGAGAAATGGAAGAATCAGAAACTTCTTGATGATTGAAAAACTTTGATATAAGTACCTTCGCAAACGATTAACGTTAATATATTGGATATCGAATTGGTGTTTTCGCATAAGATCGTCACATGAGTTACACGGAAATCATGAGGGTTTCACGGAAATTAAATCAAGTAATTACTTTCAGTCACTGTTACTATTAATAGTCATAAACTCTCTTGTGTTGCTTTTGATTCTGCGCCGACTTTTGCATAGCAACGCTTGGTTCTAAACAATAACAGGTCCAACTGCCATTAGGAATATGTGAATATCGCATCGCACGTCCGCAGATAACATTAAATAACATCTGCACGAAATTAACATCTAAAAGATGGCGACTAAAATGTAATTGAATTCGGGTCAGGTCTTTTGCCACTTTGTCTCACAGAGCGGGTTTGT